TTTTAAAAGCTGAGTAGAGGAGGAAAATACCACTTAAATTCATCCTTTTGTAAAGAGCAGATGTAACAAACTCCTCGTAGCAGCAGAGTCATTTTAGATTTCAGATTCAAAATGCTGAGCTTTTCTATGTTCATCTCTTATGCTTTCCCCTATATCAATTCACCCAATTCATTGCAGTATTACTGTCTAATTATAGGTCCTTGCTTGGGCTTTATTGCTGGATTCCAAGGGAACTCTTAGCTGCCTTCAGTTCCTGTCCCACATTCCATAGGCACGTTTTACCATATTTCAAGGAGATGGAAATAAACCATCTGCATTTCCAAAATTATCATCGCAAGAAATCAGTCATATTTGCCAGGACACTTATAATACTTGCAACAATGCAGCAGCTGATTATAGACTATCAAGCATATCAAAGAGAATTCTGAGTGTTTTTGCTAAATGGTTAAATACTAAGCCTAACTGATAGAAAGTGAGGTGTATCTGTTTCAAGTCAGAAATTCCATTCTTTGCTAGGAGCAAATGGAGTATGTGTGTAGATTGTGTGGTATATTTCTCTGACATTGGTGTGTGGGGAAAAATTAAGACAGCTGGAATTTCCTGCTCCTTCCTGACTAGATCCCTCTTCATTTTTCCCAATGGAGGGATGCCAAGGGTAAGTCACCTTTTCCACTCACCTAGATGATGTTGATGGACTGATTTTTTTACTTTGGGCAGAGGTGTGTATAGATACAAACAAAACAATTTCAGAGCTTTAAATACTCACAAGGATATAAAACTTTCTTCCTCCAGTCAGTCAAAAACATCAGTTTATACAGCATACCACCTTCAGTAATACTGTATAATCACTGGCTATTTCTAAATATGGACGTTACAGGAATGGTGGCCTAAACCAAGGCTACTTAAGCCAAATTTAGGTATCTAACTGACCTAATTTTTTTAAGCCCTGAGCACCCTGGAGCTTGTGTTGACAAAACTGGACTTCATCTAACTTAAGTCAGCAGGAGTTGTTGCATACTTGGCAATTTTGAAAAAATTAGGCCACTTATTTAGGTGTCTCAAATAGGTTCCTGTATCCCCATTTAGATGTACGTGCTTGAAAAAAAATCTTAATTTAAATCACAAATTCCAGATCTTCATTATTGACGCTTATATTCTGGCTAAGTCTTAAGGTCAGTAAGAATTGCTTCTCCTGATTTCATTGGAAAGTAGTTTGTCCCCTTAAACTATAGGGACAAATCACAGTTTTGCAATCACAAGTTCTTTAATGTGTACAGCTAGTTGGAAACATGCTGCTGCTGTAACTTCCACATTGTGACTTACTGTTAGCTACAGTTGATTGCTAATGAATTTGGAAAAAACAGAGTGGAAAATAGTAACTTTCCAAAGAATGACTAACTAGCAGCATCAAATCAGATTTACTGCATGCAATACATTACTATAACAAGGAAAATATTCTTTGAAGGTATGGTCTCATTCACACAGTTGTGTAACTTCCACACAAACCCAAGAGAAGCACATACAGTATTGCTATATCTAGATTTACTTTTCATGGATAGTTGAATACCTTTCTCATTTGATAATTTCATATTAATTTGCATCTGCTTAGATTTTAGACAAAAGTAAAATTTTCCTGGTTTACTTATCTAACTCTTGTTAGCATTGAGAGTCAGTATAACTAGGAGAGGTGGAGCTTGATTCTTTTGACTCCTGCGTGAATCAGCAGTGATTAAGTTCTATCTGGAGGATCTTTATATTACTGAAAGTTGTACAGCCCAGCAAACACATACCTATCATGCATGTTTGACAGCACTTAGCTGTTTAGCTTGTAATGTGAAGCAAGTTTAACTGACTCACTGAGAGTGAGTAAATGTAGGAGCCTTGTGGCAATTCTAAAGTGCCTGTTTCTAAAAAGTCTACAGGTTTGAAGTACAGGAGTTAATAAGGGTGTCTAAATAGACATGCAGAATTCTACAAACCCTCCCTTGCAATAGCAAACTCTGGGCACAACCACAGTTTTGTAAATTTTCCTGTAAGCCCCTACCACTTTAGCAGATAATCTGGCTACTATTTCTGCATTATGATTAACAGAGCATAGCTGGAAGGATGGTTCCACTGAATGTGGCTTGACTCCTCTACATCTGATTATAGGGTTATTAAAGATAGAAGGCAGAATTTTGGTTACTAGCTGGAAAAGAAGCTAGAGTATTTAAAACTGAACACTATGATCAGTGTGCTACAGTTTTCTATAAATCATTACCTAAGTGGATTTCACTTCCTGGTATTGAGCCCTACTGTAAATCCTGTAATGAGTTGAGAGAAGGAGAAAGGAAAGCACTTTCAGTATAGTAAATAATTATTTTTCCATGTAGGACTAAGCTTTCAAAGCATTTGAATATGGAATACCTACAAACCTTGAGATTTAAAAACTGTTTTTCAAGATTTACATTCCAGTAAACACAGCAAAAAAAAAAAATTCTCTTTTGGAGGAAAGGAAGTGATACATTTAACTTGTGGGAACTGGTTAAAAGCTAGAGAACACACCACAATAATGTACTTCTAAACTCCGAATCTACACTTTAAGGCTCTACTTAACTTGGGTGGCAGGACTGAAAATGTGCTGTTTTATTGACAGTCTTTCAGGTCTCCTCTTTATTCATTTCAACATTTTTTTAAAGAATAACTAATAATCAGGATACGTTTACAGAATTTGCAGGGTCTGTGGTGCTATCATGTCTGTGCTTTGTACTTATTAACACAATAAAACAGAGGTTTTTTATTTAAAACATGCTTTTTAGCTACACTTCAGGAGCAAAATGCATGAATAAGGATGAAAGTGAGCTGAATTCATTGTGGAAGCACAGGTATTTTAAATTAGATGCCAAATTAGGGTTAAAAGATCAAATTAATCATATATATTATTATATCATCATCATCTATATAATTCTTTGTGCATGCAGCACCTTTTTATCTGAGATATCATAGCACTCTGCAGACAGATTCAGTTTCACAGTGATACAGCAATGCAGCTTAAGCAGTCTTTTATCTCCTGATTTAGAAATGTAGTGCTGAGGATGTCTGGCTAAGTGCTACATTTCTTGAAAACCCCCTGACATCAGTGGACAGTGGGAGTGCTGAGCATTTAATTACAGATACTAAGGCATGACATGATCAGGCCTGTTTTCCAGGTTTACTGAGTCAGTACAAAAACCCAAACAACAACTTGCGAGAAACAGCTCAAAGTTTCCTTGTTTAACAGGTAGCTTCATAGTGCCTTTCACAAGCAGTCTGCACACTCCTTATGTGGCAGCCTGCTAGTATTATCTATACTTAAAAATGGTAGTTATTTGAATGAAAATTTAAAAATATGCCTGTTCAATTTCATTCAGTCATAGCCTAATTATAATAACTGTAGAGAAATAGCAGCATGCATTTTCCCTATTTGCAAAATTCACAAATAATTGTGACCATGCATAAGTTGTCTTTCGAAAAATCAGGATGCTTTTCTAATATTAAATGTGGCAAGAAATTAGCACATGGGGTTGATAAGTGAATGTTTGTTCATTCATCTAGGAACATTTTTATTATATGATATAAATATTTTAGCAAGCATATTGAAGCTTTGTATGGGAATTATACATTGGCATAAAAAAGGGACTATACCTCAAAGTGGCCCTGTACGGGTAGTGGATATTTTGTTTATCTCATTTATTACCTTTAGTTGTACATTCTGTTTAGTACCACATTTTAAAATGCCTATAATTTAAAAGCAAATCAAGACAAATGTTGTAGTCATAGTTGGTTTCCAAGGAGGTCTCTATATACTGTCCCAGGACATTTGTCTGATCATAAAGTCAGAAACTTCACTGTGTTAAAACTGATTTCACTTAAGTCAGTGACATAACCTCTAATTCAGTAAGTTGTGGATCTGGTCCTAAAATAATGATTGTGAAGCTGAGCCCATAGATACCTTGTTGATTTGCACAATTAAAGACTAAGGCCTAGATAGAAGGGTTTGGAAAGGCAAGTGGCTTCATGAGAATCCATTTCGTAAAATGTGGCCCACATGCTAAAAAATCTATGAAACATATAGACCTAGGACAGAGCAGCTGCTGGACCTTGCCTTTTGCAAAGGGGACAAAGAAGACATATTTTCTATGTTACACATCTATCCATATTTGAGTTCAGTACAGGAAGTTGTAAGTAATCCAAACCCCTCATTTACTGGATCATAGCCATTGTCAAATCTATTCAGAATGTCAACAAATGTTAGCCTTTATTACCCATCCTTGCTATAATATATATATATAT